GGACATTGAGGTTCGGGTACATGCTTCTCTGAAGGTGACCAGGGAAGTTGAAACAGTTGTTAAGAAGGTCTATAGGAACCTTGAGTTTATAAATAGAGATTTTGAGTATAAAAGCAAGAAAGTGATGCTCCTTGTCTACAAATCATTGATCAGACCACATTTGGAGTCATGTGTTCAGTTCTGGGCACATTATTTTAGGAAGGATGTTAAAGCGCTGGGGAGAGTTCAAAGGAGATTTACTAGAATGATGCCAGAAATTAGGGATTTTAGATACTAGGCAAGATTAGAGAAATTAGGCTTGTACTCCTTGGAGCAGAGAAGATTTAGAGGTGACCTTATTGAGACGTTCAAAGTTATGAACAGTTTTGACAGGTTAAAGAAGGATACTCTGTTTCCACTAGTTGGTATGTCAGTAACTAGCACAACTTCAAGACTGTCAGCAAGAGAGCTAGGTGCAAGATTAGGAGAAACTACTCAGAGAGTGTTAGGATTTGGAATGTGCTGCCTGGGAGCGTGGTGGAGGTGGATTCCACATGGAATTTCAAAAGGGAGCTGGATGAATATTTGAAAGTGATGATGTTGGAGGGCTATGGAGATATGGCCGGAGAATTGGGGTGGCTGGGTACCTCTTTCAGGAGCCGGTACTGATACGATGGGTCAAATGGCTTCTTCCTTATACAGTAAAATTCTATGATTCTGTAACCATCCAGCCGACTGCCAAACAGCAATCACTGAAGCCAACACATGCATTATATCACAAATTAGCCTGAGTCCACTGGGGGCTCAGTGGGGGGTCTGGGTCCATTGGGGGCTCAATGGACTCAGAAAAACATAGGGAGAGAGCAGCCCTAAGGTCCAGTAAGACCATGGTGAAATTAGCTTGAGCCCAATGGAGATCAAGATGTGTTTGGAGGAGAATTAGTTTGTCGGAGCTTTGTGGCAGTGTGGAACCTGGGGGTCTCGGTCCAACTAGACATGGGTTCCAAAAATAACTGGTTCTGTTAGAAGTGGGTTTCAGGTGGAGGGAAGAGAGACACCGAGATCACAGCATCTCAGTGGTGCAGAAGGAGGTATTTCCAAACTCATTCTGCCATCAAATCTCTGAGTATTTGTTGTTACGGGCACTTTGGTTCTTAGAACTTCATTCCAGACCTTAACACCTGTTACATTTTCTATTTCAAGTCCAAGTCATCTTTTCAGCCAAACAGCGTCCTGTGGTTCTCAATCTTCTTGTGATCAGGTACAACTTCTGCCTTTCTGTTGTTCCCTGATGCCCGATGACACTGTGAACTCCTATCGGAGCTCAACAATCCCCAACTATCCAATGGGTCAGCCGGGTAAGGTTTCTCATCACCATATCAATACCAGAAAGCCACTCCCCCATTCACTTCAACCGAGTGAAGGAGAAAAATGAGAAGTGTGGGGTTACAGAGATAGACTTCTACAACTTTACTTCACTTTATTATTGACCTTGATCTGAACTATGCAATTTCTCACTAAACTATCTCCTCCAAGACCCAATGTTTATGCTTTGAGAATGCCAGAAATAAAAACCTTGAGCATACTGCCTTTTTTAATACAAGAAGTAAGTTAATATTTGCAGTAAAACAAAAGAGAGAACTGCAGATGCCAAAGATCTGAAACAAAAACACAAAGTTCTGGGGAAACTCAGCAGGTCCAGCAGCGTCTGTGGTGGTGGTACTGGAGGGGGATGGGTGGGGGAGGGGGGGGGGGGGGGAGTTGGATAGTGGGAGGGAGTGGGGTAGTGGGAGGAAGGGGGAAAGAGAGAGAGAGAGACAACATTAGCGTTACAGGTTATGAACACAGAAATTGCTGGAGAAACTTAACAGATCAATATATCCTCTGATTGTTTGTCAAAATATTTTGTGACTGGACCCAAACATTGATTCTGTGGTCTAGGCCCGAAACGTCAGCCTTCCTGCTCCTCTGATGCTGCTTGGCCTGCTGTGTTCACCCGGCTCTACACCTAGTTATCATTGATTCTGTTTTCTCTTTCCACAGATGCTGCCAGACCTGTTGAGTTTCTCCAACAGTTTCTGTGTTTATAAGCTGTAACATTAACTCTGTTTCTGTCTCTATTCACAAATGCAGCCAGACCAGCTGAGTTTCTCCAATATTTTCTCATATTCGTATTGACTGCATCAAATCTGAGCCAAGGGTCTACTACCTTAGGTTTCTGGAGAGTCAGTCCGATAAAGAATGACGAAAAGGTCAACAAGTTGGGCGTGAAGTTGGAGTGTGAGAGAATGCTGGTTGCTAATACAACAACAGAATCTATAAGATTATCTGTGTTTTTAAATGAAGGCAGTCTAAATAAAGTGAACATTGGCTCAGAATCATTCAGCAGATTTAAGAATGGCAAACAAGGAAATAATTTTGCATTTCAAGATGATGAATGTCTCAAATTTAGCAGAGACTGTCCAAAAGACTTTGAGGTGTTATTGCTGTGCAGCTGGTTTACACCGAAAGTGGCCGAGGTCAAAATATTATGTTTTCAAGAAGGATGTAGCTGTAGCTGCTGCGGCTAAAAGAAATGGGGAGAGGGCAGGATTTGGGTATTGATCTTGAAGGTCTGCCACAATCCCATTGAAAGCTGGAACAGGCTCGAGCAGCCAAATGGCCTACTTCTGCCCCTCAGAATTTGCACAAAGCTGAGAGGGAGGGGAGCTGTGAACGAGGATGCGAATATGCTTCAGTGTGACTTGCACAAGCTGAGAGAATGGGCCAATGCAGGGCAGATGCAGTTTAATGTGGATCAATGTGACGTATTCCACTTGGGGAGCAAAAACATTATTATCCGAATAGCTGTAAACTGAGAGAGGCAAATGTTTAATGAGACTTAGGTGTCCCTCCTATACCAGTCACTGAAAGTAAGCATTACAGGAGCAGCAGGCAGTGAGGAAGGCAAATTGGATGTTGGTCTTCACAGTAAGAGGATTGAGTCCAGGAGCAGGGATGTCTCGTTGCGCTTATACAGGGTGAGCCCACACCCTGGAGTATTGTGTGCAGTTTGGATCTCCTTATCTGAGCAAGGATGTCCTGACTACAGAGGGAGTGCAGTGAAGGTTTACCAGACTGGTTCTTGGGATGGCAGGACTGACAGATGAAGAGGGACTGGATCGGTTAGGATTATATTCGCTGGCATTTCAAAGAGCGAGGGGGAAGCAGATAGAAACCTACAAAATTCTAACAGGACTAGACATGATAAACACTGGAAGAATGTTCCCATGAGTGGGAATTGGAGTCCAGAACCAGTGGGGTCACAGTCTAAAGGAGATGCAGTAGGACAGAGACGAGAAGTGTCCTTACCCAGAGAGTGAGAAGTCGGTAAACATTTCTGCCACAAAAAGCGGTTAGGGGCAGAACGTTGAATGTTGTTCAAGAAGGAATTGGATATAGTTCTTGTAGGTAAATGGGCCAAAGTATATGAAGGGAGGATGAGATGAGGGTATTGAGCTTGATGATTGTATTCTTTTATTCATTCATGGGATGAGAGTGTCACTGATCAGGCAGCAGTTATTGCCCATCCCTAATTGCACAGAGGATAGTTCAGAGTCAACCACATTGCTGTGGGTCTGGAGTCACATGTAAGCCAGACCAGGAAAGGATGGCAGTTTCCTTCCCTAAAGAACATTAGTGAGCCAGGTGGTTTTTTACGACAATCGACAATGGATTCACAGTCATTATTAGAGTCTTAGTTCCAGATGCTTCACTGAATTCAAATTCCACCATCTGCCTTGGTGGGATTTGAACCTGGGTCTGCAGAATATTATCTGGGTCCCTGGGTTAACAGTCCAGCAATAATACCACTAGGCCATAGCCTCCCCCACAGGAACAGGCAGAGCAGGCTTGAAGGGCCGAATGATCTACTCCTGCTCATAGTTTCTATGTTTCTATGAGAATACTCATTTTCTAATTCTTCCTGTTGCCACAGCATTTATATGGCCATTTCCTGATCAATGGTTTCCCACAGGATGTCAACATCTGAGCGAATTCAGAGGATAATGAGTGGAACAGGGGTTGGGGGCGTGGTTGAATTGTCCCTTGTGAAAGCCTGCCATTGATTGCCAATGTGTGATGATTTATCAGCCCAATCACCAATACTGTCTGGGTCTCCTTACATTCAGGCAAAGATTCATCATCTGAGGATTCATGATTGATGCTGATCAGGGTCTCTCACAACAACCTCCAAAGTCTTCCTATGTGCCCCTTAGGGCTCCAAGCGTTGTCCATTGTCACTTTGTCTGGATTTTGCTGCATTTCACAAACTTATTGGCGAAGGAATTAGCAGAGATATTCCATTTCCAAATTTGCCATGAAACCTTGTGGGGGTCTTAATGAAAGTTAGGGACATCTTCCAACTGGATGGGTGCATGACTCCATCTCTGGCCTGACTGTCTGTCGTTCATGCCGCTGGGTCATATCTTGCCCCAGTTTTGCCTTCTGGGCTATTATATGTCTTGCTGCTATCATAGTCTGTTTGGGATCTGAGGAAGCTAAGGAAGTGGAGGTGATGGCCTAGTGTTATTATCGCTGGGCTGTTAATCCAGAGACTCAGGTAACGTTCTGTAATGACCCAGGAAACCTGGGTACAAATCCTGTTTCAGCAGATGGTGCAATTTGGATGCAATAAAAATCTGGAATTAAGAATCTAATGATGACCACAAATCCATTGTCGATTGTTGGAAAAACACATCTGGTTTGCTCTTACCTTTTAAGGAAGGAAATTGCCATCCTTACCTGACTCCAGACCTACAGCAATGTGGTTGACTCCTAACTGCCCTCTGGGCAATAAATGCTGGTCTAGCAGAGCAGACCCAATGGGCGGAATGATCGAATTCTACTCCTGGTGTAACAGAGTTGAAGTTATTCACCTTAATCATTTGCAACAGCCCAAAGTAATGTTTAGGTACGGCCCTAGCCAGTGAAGGATGATAAATCCGATCCTCATTTATGTGGTGCGGTGGTATCCTCCTTACCTCTGAGCTGGGAGGTCCAGGTTCAAGTCCAAACTGTGTCCAGACGTGTGGCATAGCATCACTGAACAGGTTGATTGGAAAATGTCTCTGGGAGTGTTAGACGCTGCATGTGTTATGAACATGATTGCCATCTTTTCCCCATTTTGAGTTGAGTTCTGTCTGCCATGTTTAGACCAAGGATGCATCATTAAGACATTAAGACTTGCCTGGGCTTCACAGAAGCAATACTAAACGTGAATGATCCAGCAATTCATGCTATTGCTGTTGACAATTTTACGCTTTAGGTGAAGCGAGGTAGTTAACTGATGAGAAGAGAGATAGTAGGAACTGCAGATGCTGGAGAATCTGAGATAACAAGGTATAGAGCTGGACGAACACAGCAGTACAAGCAGCATCAGAGGAGCAGGAAAGCTGATGTTTCGGGCCTAGATGATTTTTCTGAAGGCGGGTCTAGGCCCAAAACGTCAGCTTTCCTGCTCCTCTGATGCTGCTTGGCCTGCTGTGTTCATCCAGCTCTACACCTTGTTATCTGAGTTAACTGATGAGCCCACTTAGATTTTCCCTGCTTTTCCCTTGACAGGACATACCTCTGCAATTTTCTACATAACCAGGTAGGCACCAGTGCTGTAATTGCGCTGACATCACGTCAGTTAGAGCCCACCTTGTCCTGGAGTCCAAATATTCTGTACCATCATTCAGGAACCATTCCTCTGCTCTATTCAATAGCTTCAGCCAGTTTTCGATAGAAGAATTAAATCAGCTGAGGAGAGCATTTCAGCGTTCAAATCAAGGCAGCATATTTTTAAGGTGACAGTAGAAGACTTAAAAGGGACCGGAGGGGCAGCTTTTTCACACAGATAGTGGTTCATATGTGGAATGAACTGCCAGAGGAAGTGGTAGATGCAGGCAAAGTTAAAACATTTAAAAGACATTTGGACAGGCACATGAATAGGAAAGGTTTAGAGGAATATTGCCCAAATACAGGCAAATGGGTCTAGTTTAGGAAACTTGGTCGGCAAGGACGAGTTGGGCCAAAGGGTCTGTTTCTGTGCTATATGAGTTCTTCAATTCTTCACCATAGAATCATAGAATGTCTACAATGTGGAAACAGGCCCTTCAGCCCAATAAGTCCACAACAACCCTCACAGCATCCCACCCAGACCCATCTGCCTGTAACCTACCCAATCTACACGTCCCTGAGCACTATGGGCAATTTAGCATGGCCAATCCACCTAGCCTGCACATCTTTGGACTGTAGGAGGAAACTGGAGCACCCGGAGGAAACCCACGCAGACACGGGGAGAATGTGCAAACTCCACACAGATAGTCGCCCAAGGGTGGAATCGAACCCGGGTTCCTGGCGCTATGAGGTAACAGTGCTAACCACTGAGACATTGTTGGTGTTCCTGCAAAGTCTCTCTATCTCTGTACATTTATAAATTCTGAAAATCTTTGTTAGCAGCATCTCAATTTCTATGATCTATATTTGGCAAAGATGGAAATTATTGTATTTATTTTCAATTACACACTCTATTCTTATTCTATGAATTTCATACCCTTCATCTGAGGAGGAACAGAAGTGTTCATATCCACGATTGCCCCATTTTGTCCTGAGCTGATTTATATCTCAATATTCCCTCTATTACCAATAATATCCCCAGATTTCACTCCTGCCTCAGTGCTGTTTCTGAATAAACCATCATCTACATACACCTTTTCAGTTGCAGTTCTCTTCTAGCCACTCTTCCAGTTAAAAATATTTTGATTGCAAACTTATTCTTGTCTCTACCTGGACCAATGCCAGTTGCAAAGTGTGAAGCCAGTTTGATTTTAAAATGAGGTGGTCACAGCTTTGTGTCACCAGTTTCTGTATAGCCCATCGGTGGCCATGAAATGACAGTTTCATTGAACTGTTTAGATTCCAGAACTCTCTGAGCAGGAGTGGGTGCCAAGTAAATCATCTCCGAAGTGCAGTGCTCTGACATCTTTCATAGTGGGATATTTTCAGGACGACTTAGATCTGACCAGTCTCTGGGGGATTACATACTTCCATCTAGCATGTCCTCATTCTGATACTTGGTGTGCAATCTGCCTTGGCTTGTGGATATCTTATGGTTAAGCATGCCTTCTGTTGGAGTTGACTTTCTCCCTCAACTCTTCATTGAATCAAAATCGATCATTCCACAAGCTGAGAACCGATTAGGCACTTGATTGTGGTTGATGAGGAGGGAATGGCCAGAACCATCATGGTGATATTGCTTCTGGGCTATGGTATGTTGGTTATGACTTATTGAGTGCGATTCTGTCAGGCTGTTGCTCGATTTGTCTGTGATAAAGCTCCCCCAATTTTGCTGCAAAGACATGAGCAATTATTTGAGAGTGTTATGTGTGACACACTCACTCTCTGTGCCTTTATTTGATGCTGAGCCACTCTGCAAATCATCGGGAGACTGCACTAAACCTTCAGCAAGAAACGATGGCAGTGAGTTAACCCTCCAATCTGAGCCAAGCTGTTTCCCAAAGTCCACAGGCCATTTCCAGCTCGCAAAATGACATTGATGAAGGAATAAAACTAAAAAGCATGAAAAATCAGCAAGGGCTCTGACATTAAGCAAGGGAAGGAGAGATAGGGGAAGGGAGGATGCTGCAGAGAGAATGTGAGAAAGGCTCCATCACTTTACTTCCTGTTTTTTGACCAACCCTGGTCTGAACTGGGCAGTTTCAAACATAAATAAATCTTCTGAAGTTTAATGCTATCTTTGTGAGAATGCATGGGGAACAACTTTGAGGGGACTGCACACAGGGAGAAAAAGTGAAAACTGATTTGCCCTTTTTTTCTGATATTTTATCAGGCCTATCACTGCGTGGCTCACTAGGACATTTCAGAGCACATTTAAGATTCACCTCTAACACCTTCAGACCTGGAATCACTTGTAAGCTAGACCTGGCGGATTTTTCTTCCTTAAAATTCTGCAGTGAACCATTTTTCCAAATCATCAGCATTTGGACAAGTCCCACCAGATTGAATTGGGCGGGGGGAGTTATTATTTTGGAAATAATGCATACAAACAGCAAGAAATAGGAAGATTGTTGCATGAAAATCTATAAAAGGGAAGATTCTGGAACTAGCAGCAGCCTTCAGTAAAACCTGATTCTATGATTTATGATTCTAATTATTGTAGCTATTGCAGTATGACTAAATGAGCTGAACAGCCTCTATTGCATTGTATGATTCTACGATTCTGGTTATTTGCAATATTTATGCAATGTAGCATTTAACAGACTTTTTTGTCAGAAATTTATCCAGATAACTATCCCCTTCCTATTTTACAAACTTTAACATGCAATGTGTGGTTTCTACCTGAAATCATATGCCTTGAACTGATGATATTGATGTGAAAGTTCAAGGTAACAGCTTTTACCAGATGTTTTTATTCACCTGATGAGTGTAAGTTGCCTTTATTACTTTAGACCTAACGTGCAGCTCACAACATGGTAAATTTCATTTGAAAAGTGATTGGCATCTAACATCAATGTGGAAAATTGCCCAGCTATGTCTCATACAAATCCAATCTGGCCAATTACTGCAGCCAACAGGCTACTCTTAACTATCAATAAACTCATGGAAGATATCCTCAACAGTGCTATCAAGCAGCACCTGCTCAGCAATAACCCGCTAATTGATGCCCAGTTTGGGTCCCGCTAGGGCCACTCAGCTCCTAACCACATTACAGCCCTAGTTCAAGCATGGACAAAAGAGCTGAATTCCAGAGATGGCGTGAGAGTGACAGTCCTTGACATCAAGGCTGTACTTGACTGAGTTTGGCATCAAGGAACCCGAGCAAAACTGGAATCAATGGGTATCAGCAGGCAAACTCTCTGCTGGTTGGAGTCATAGCTGGCACACAGGAAGATGTTTGTGGTTGTTGGAGGTCAGTCATCTCATCTCCAGGACATTTCTGCAGGAGTTCTTCAGGGTGGTGTCCTAAGCCCAACCATCTTCAGCTGCTCCATCAATGAGCTTCCCTCCATCATAAGGTCAAAAGTGGGAAGTTTGTTGATGATTACACGATGTTCAGCACCATCTGCCACACCTTAGATACTAAAGCAATCCATTTTCAAATGCAACAAGATCTGGACAATATCCAGGCTAGAGCTGACAAGTGGCAAGTAATATTCGTGCCACACAAATGCCAGGCTGTGACCATCTCCAATAAGAATTAATCTAACCATTGCCCCCTTGACATTCAATGGTGTTACCATCACTCAATCCCCAACTATCAACATCCTGGGTGGTTACCATTGACCAGAACTGCAGCTGGACTCATCACATAAATACAGTAGCTACAAGAGCAGGTCAGAGGTTGGGAATCCTGCAGCGAGTAACTCACCCCCGACTCCCAAAATCCTGTCCACCATCAACAAGGGACAAGTCAGGAGTATGATGAAATACCCTCCACTTGCCTGGATGGGTGCAGCTCCAACACTTGAGAAACTTGATACCATCCAAGGACAAAGCAGCCTTTTTCTGATGAAGGGTCTAGGCCCGAAACGTCAGCCTCTCTGCTCCTATGATGCTGCTTGGCCTGCTGTGTTCATCCAGCCCTGCACCTTGTTGTCTCTCACAAAGCAGCCCCTGCTTGTTTGGCACCACATCCACAATCATCCACTCCAACACTCAGTAGCAGCAGAGTGTACCATTTACAAGATGTACTGCTGAAATACACCACTCATCCTGATTGAAATTAAATCACTTCTAATCTTCTGCAGTAGATTTTACAGGCGTAATCTGAGTTCAATATAAGTTGTGTCTACAATTGTCACTAACATATCGTAAGGTCCTGGGGAGTGTTGCTGAACAAAGAGACCTTGGAGTGCAGGTTCATGGTTCCATGAAAATAGATACGCAAGTAGATAGGATAATGAAGAATATGTTTGGTATGTTTGCCTTTATTGGTCAATGCATTGAGTATATGAGTTGGGAGGTCATGTTACGGCTGTACAGGACTTTGGTTAGGCTGCTTTTGGAGTACTGCGTGTGGTTCTGGTCTCCGTCCTACAGGAAGAATGTTGTGAAACTTGAAAGGGTTCAGAAAAGATTTACAAGGA